TCGTTACTTATTGTCATTTGGTTTTTATATAGAAAGAGTCCTTTGATTTAGTTTTTATAACGTAAGACACAAGTCTAATCGACAAATTTTATATAATTTTGAATTTAAGTTGCGCGTGAATCTTATTTAGTAAATCGAGGGTGGAATGTAACAACTTTTAATTGTAAAGAAATTAATGTCGAAAAAATTTAAATTAGATAATAATTTGATGTAAATCAATTTTGATTAGATAAGAATTGACGATGACTTGATAAAAGGAAATAGGAACGTTTATTATTATTATTATTACTATTATTATTATTATTATTATAAACGTTATTATTATTCAGAGGTGTCAAAGTTTACGGGTTATCGTCATGTCGTGATCCATTGTTAATGTCAATGTCTCGTGAATCTTGCCGTTTATATATATTTTATCAGGACGGACTGATATACTGAACTGCTTCTCCGGAGGACTCTCTTTATATAAACTCTGTTAAGTTATTATTATTATAATATTTTATTATCATATTTGTTTATTATTGTTATAATATTTTTTATTATATATGGTTTTATTTCACAAGTACATTCAGAATAAAGGCTTGTATGCTTATTGTTATTATTATTAGTGTAACTATAAAAAGCTCTTGTTTGTCTTCTCACGGTATTATATATTAATTTTCTTAAATATATATAATTAGTTTCTTCAACAAATATATAATTACGCAATTATCGTAAAATAAAGTCATTAGTTCTACAACATTCATATCACAGTAATCGTTTCCAACGCATAAATTACTTGAAATATTGATTGCAAAGTACTACGAAATGTGTATCATAGGAAAAGTACGAATCTAAGTATTGTAAAAGATTTCATTCGGCAAAGAAAAAATTGATCGGTCTTGGAGTTATTTGTAAATAAATCGTTTACTCACTATATTCTTCTCCCACCTCAATATATTCGCCTCGCTCCCCTTCCCTCAATCGTAACCATTTGTTCGTTCAGTAGCACTGTATAACGCCGATGTTAAAGTTAGTGTGCTTGCGCCACGCCAGCGTTGTACATTAATAGTGCTCAGTTTTTTCAATTCGTGATTCTTCCTTTCTCTATCTTTTTTGTTTTCTTGGTTTTCCATCATTCTCTGACTGTCTTTCAACCTTCTTGTTTATTTTTTTATTCCTTTATATCTGTATTTATTAGTTTTGTGAGCACTGCAGTATTCTGTTATACATTAGTGAAGCTTTTCAGTGACTATTTATTCATCAATTGTTCTAAGGAGAAGAAGCGAAGAAAGATGAACAAAGTCTTTAGACCGAGATTTGTAACTCTATGCAGCATCATTTTATTATTGTGCTGCAACGGTGAGTCATGGGAATGTGTTTGAAAATATAAAGTTTTGCAACTTTGTTTTCTTATCTGGGTTTGAGATGTATTGCTAATAATTGAAACATATTATTAATAGAGAATATTATTCATAAATGGCTGATGTGAATTTGTTTCTCCTTAAAAAATGCTGTTAAGTGACAAAATGTAATAGATTTTTTATCTAATCTCAAGTTTATAGAATAATATATCTTTCCGATTACAATCATCATGGCGAGAATTTTTTTTCTAATATCTCCAAAATTACTGTTACTACATCGCAAAATGTTTGAATTTTTATTTTTTGTGTTTTTTCGAAAAATTTAAAATACAATATTTTTTATTAATTTTGCATTAATATAATACAATGTTAATAATGCTTTTACTAGCAAACATTAATTATTAATCATAAAAATTGATGGTGCAAGATTTTTAAATTTATTTGTTAAGTCAAAATACTTGTAATTTAGCTTGTAAGTTTTACATAAAGACTCTTATTCAGAACAGCTTTTATTGATAAAAACGCGCTTTTACGTCTGAAATTTTATAATATATGTTACGTAAAGTATAGTATGTTAGCGCGCATCGTTATAAGTCATAAAGCACGTTTATAAAATCGCTAACTGAAACTTTTTTACACTGCATTATAAATTTTTTAAATGATATTTTGTTGTTGTAACTCTTTTCATCTTTAATGGAAACGCTTGCTTGGAGATAAAATTAAAAAATGTCAAAGTTTCTATATATATAGACGGTCTTACTGAATATCTTTTCAAGGTGACACGGACTGCGTTCTGAGATTCACTGCTAGTGTTGAAAATCTGTAGTGTATATAATGTATAGTATAAATTTTCAGTACTGGTGAATAGCAGAAAGTCTTCATAGATATGACTATTGATTTTTCTACAGCGTAACATAATTAAAGATTTGATAAACTATCTAATCGTATATAGTATAGTACACTGACAAAAAAATAGCCTAAATTTAAATAAATATTTATTTGAATACTGCCAACTAAACATTTACTTACAATAAATAAATATTTACTTTATAAAAAGGAGCGATTGTTAAATTAAATTAATGTTTTTTGTACAAAATAAATACATATTTTTATATTTAATAAATACTTAATTGGTACTATATTCAAATAAATATTTATTGAAATTTAGGATAACTTTTTTCTCAGTATAGTAATTGATTAATTAATTAATGTATAATATAATTATTTTTGCATATAATAATTATTCTCGTGCAAGCCAAATAATTTTTTATATTATATTTATATTATATTGTGCGTATATTATATTCATATTATAAATCCGCCTTTATTCTTAATAAATATTATTATTAATAAATATTGTTTTATAATTAAACAATTAAAAACAATTTTTTTTTCAAAATTATGTTCTAAACTATTTTCATAGTGACTTTTGAGACGGAGTCACATATACAAATCTAAATAATGATTATGAAAATTATGATACAATATAAGTCATATATGAAAAGTCAAGATTATATAAAATTAACATTGATTATATGTGCTCGGTTATCTCCTTTGCAATGATCTTTAACCTCATTGTCTGATAATGAATATTGAGAATTTTAAGGGAATAGCATCATAAATTCAGACAGCACAGAATTATATTTATGATAAATATTTAGGATTATTCATTTTTTAAATGTTATATAAATATTTTATACGTATTTTATATAAAGCTTTATTCAAAATATTATTAAAAGATAGACTAAATATTTTATATAATATTTATAATAAATATAAATAAATATTTCTAATAAGTATTTTTTGTTTGAATTATAATGTTTTATTAAGTATTTCCATAGCATTTACTACAAGATTTACGATAAATATTTCAAATAAGCCTTATAAATATTGTGTGCTGTCTGGGAGCAAACTGAATCAAAGGATAGTATATTTGATCACTATCATTTAATTCTTTAATTTGTGATTTTTTTAAAATTAAACTTAATTTCTTAGTATCAAATTTTATGTGTGTATATAAATATATAAATTTTAATTTTTCATTATCATTCGTGTAATAAAAAAGTTGCTTTAAAAGATGTTATGTATACGTATTTATGTTTGTAAAAAATATTTTGAATTTAATTTATTTAATAATTACGAACTACAATTAAGTATTTTTGGTATACATGTAATTTATTTGGTGTATATGTAATTTATATTATACAAAAGCATTTTGGGATCATAATACGAAATGTAAACTTTCCTTCAATAAACAATGTAAATCTGTATTATCACATGCAGTATATACACGTGTTTACGTATATAAATGCGTACTTATGAAAAAATAAGAAAAATACAAATAAATGAATTATATTTTACAGGTGGCAATGCTATGCAATGTTATCAGTGTAACAGCCGCAATAATAGCCAATGTGCCGATCTTATTCCTCCAGATACCATGAAAATAGATTGCTCAGAACTTAAAGATGGTGCAAAGTACACAATGTGCCGAAAAATTACACAAGTCATCGAGTTTAGTGTTAATGGCTGTATGTGTTAATATATTATATTGATACTATATTAAAAATTAACTATTTATTTATCTATATTATTATGTTGAATATCAAATTTAATTGCTTATCTATTTAATAATGCCGGAGTGAATTAAATTTTCACTATCATATCCACGTTTTGACAAAATATTATATGATTCGATTGAATTATGCAAAACATCATGCTTAGTGCATCATCTAATTTAATGCCTTAGATTATTACTTATTATATTATATTTACAGAATTATTAATGTCATTTTTTATGACATTAGTAATTCTGTAAATAGTTTTGGAGCTTTTTTTTAAATTCAGTAGTATCGCCGCTGATTACGAGTAGTCACCGCGACTAGCACAGCACTTAACGTGTTAACACTAAACTACCAAGGCGGTTATTTTGACCGATTCGCAAAGTTTTTCGCCTGTCATTTGTGCGCGCGCGATTCTTGATTTAGCGCAATTTCATTCCATGACTTTTCAATTTTATTCCGTGACTAAATATGTAATATGTATTGTACGATGTGCCATACCGTTGACTCTATCATTAACGTATGATCGAGAATTTCATGTTCTACCTAAAACTACCAGAGCGATCAATTTGACCGGATGCGTTAAATCAATAATATAATATCAATATATGTTTCACATTCATGACAGATATTTAAAAAAGGTATTTTTTATGGTTTAATTTAATTTTTTTAATTTAAAAACATGTACTGTATGATAATACAAACGTGCGTATATATCAAAAATAAATTTTCTCCTTCCTTCATGGACAACCAAAAAATTAAAATTACAAAAGACCATGTAAAATAAAGTAATCCAGAAGGAGTTCAAAAATAGAGAAATATTTTATGGTCAGACGAAATCAAAATAAATTTAAAGGAAGATTTTATGTGAAAAGACCACTAAATCAAGATTTTTGCTACACCTAAATATATACTAGAAAATATACTAGAAAACCATAAAATATTTTTCCATTTTTTAAGCTCCTTCTGGACCACTCCATTTTACTGGTCTTTTGCAAATTGTAATCTGCATCTTACATTCTTTAAATTTAAATATGGAACTTTTTTGGCAGCTCTAACATTTAAATTACATTCTTAAAGCCTTTGTCGAATTGTACACTTGTAGAAAGATTGAGTACATTTTCAATTTTATTTGGTGACTTGAATCAATCTTAGAAACGTACGATCCATTCGACATGTAGTTTTTCGCTTGGAATCTTTAGTTTCTTTATCATTTTTAAGTTTTAATGCATTTTCTACCAGTTTCCTGGAACGACTAATAATTTTAATAACTTCCCCTTGCGATCTTCCTTCAATAAAATTAAAATTTTTATTTTTTCATTAGCTTTAATGAGTACTTCGCCCCATTTAACTGTAATTTTAGATAATTGATTAAATTTTGTTATAATTTTACTAGATCTAATCTATAAAATTACAGTAATTAATACATAATAGACTGTTTTATTTTTAATTAACTTACATCAATTATTTGGCTTTATTATTTTGACCAAACTATTTATAGCATAGAATACTTTAAAATTTTCCAATACGATATGCACTTTATTTTAGCAAAAGCTTATCATTTTTAGTGTAATATGAGTTATTATTACTGTATAATAAATGGGGCTACAACAAGTAAAGATAAATGAGTAAAATAAGCAATTTATTTATTTTAATGAAAGTGGTTCTCTTTTTATGACCACCGTACATTGAAATTGATTTTGTCTAATTAAATAATTTTTATAACAAAAGAAAATATTTTTTGCATTAGCGGTCAAAATGACCGTTCTGGTAGTCATAAAAGGTAAAAAATCTTGGTAGTTCTAGTGTTAATTAAATTATATGATGATTTACTTTTTATACATATATGTAAAGAATTCATCTTACCGAAACACATATATAGTTGTGTACAACTTTATTAAATTATATGTTACGTAAAATGCAACGTTTATAATGCTATAAAAATGATTCAATTATCATATAAAAATAATATTTAGCATAAAACAAATTAATATTTATATAATAAGATAAAAAAGATTAATATTTGTTTACACAGTACCACCAGATATGCGAGTTATTCGAGGATGCGGATGGGATGAATCAAATTATAAAGGCAAATGCTATCAACGCAGTGGCTTTGGTGGTAGACAAGAAGTTTGCTCCTGTTTAACTGACTATTGCAATTCGGCAATGCCTGGATCCGGAATTTGGTCTCAACGTCTTATTTTTTCATGCATCTTGATCAATCTATTGCTAATGTTTTCGTGGAACTAGATATTCTTAGAAAATATTCGAATTCGTTGGATTTAATTATAAAACTATAATGAAGATTAGAAAGAAAGGTTATTAGGAATAATACTAATAATAGTAAGATTAATATCAGCTTTTTATCAATGTAAAATTGAATAGCAGATAATTGAAGTAACAAAATTATCATCAATGTATTATATTAAAGCGCAAGAAAAAATCGAAAAAACGATTTTATATTATACAGATAATTAAGAAAGACGGCCATATTTAGCGCTATGACATAGTTATAAGTACGTACGCAACAGCAAAGCAAATTCTATCTAATTAATTCTTGGACTTCTTGATCTCAGTAACTATACTGAATTGATCAATCTTTTAGTAAGCTTACTCGATAGTTTGGATTTTAATTATATTTAAAAAATGTTTTTTTTTTCTATATGTCGTATATGAACGACGATCGTATGAAGATCTGAACTGATAAATTTTTAATTAAGAAATGTCATCTTTATCGTCCTTAAAAAAATATTATTTTATTTGATGTAGTATTCATAATGCTTCTTTTAAACATAAGGCGGTTGATATGTTTACAGTTGATAGTCTGAATCATACATAAATTTATGTGAAAATAGAAAATAATAATAAATAAAATAGAAGATGTAATTAATATAAAAAATTATAACAAATAAATATGTTGCGATTATCTTGACGAACACAATCATATCTCTTGGTCAAATAGCTTTAATAAAAATTACGCTAACTATATTTTATAATAAAACAGACTTTTTTACATCGAGATAAAAACATTTTAGTAATTCATAATAAAAATGACATTCATTTCAAATAATTATAGGTCTGTTCGCGTTGTTTGTATACTTTTTGCATTCATCATTTTCGCTTTCTTTATTTTCAACGCAATACATGTATTTATTTTATTTTAAGTTTAAAAATTTTTGGGAATTTCAAATAACGCGAACATATCTTATAACTTTTAATCTTAGTATTATCTAATTCTAGTGATATTTTAGAATATGAAATTAATTATTGTGAAAAGCAATTTTAAAGCAAGAAAAACCGGGTGCGTTGAGCAGATCGTAACAGTTGCAGATTGAAACTGTTTTACGATCATCTGCTGAGATAGAACTATTCCTCTAGATCTAAAAGTATAATCCAATAAGCGCGAAGAAAAAATTCGTTGGAAAACTTCCAACACTTGCAAAATAAACATTCTGCTGAATACAGCCTACGAAAGAATAAATTCACCCTCTCAATACACTCCATACGAGGAACGTCGCAATAATTATACGACATTGCATAAATATGATGATATACTTGTAATGTTCCTTGGGCGAAATATGCTATATGGGCACCTTTTTTAACAAAAAAAAAACATCGAAGACACGCGCTAATTAGAATTATAACTTTATGAATTATACGTATCTTAATTTATATTCAAAATGAATTATTCTCGAAATAATATATGTTCATTAATGATTCAAATTTTTCAGATCATAATAAATAAAATAAATGTTTTATAAAGTAGCAATATTTAAAATGTCGTGTCATATTTATTTTAGTAAATATATTGATAATAACGGACTTAGCTCCGATGACTTTGACCTTAATATCATTAAGATCATGATCTTGAGTGACCTTCAGAAAGTTTTAGCCCGCGCATATTGTTATTCATTTAAAAGTTATTAACAAACATAGTTTAAAAAAATGTAATGTCTTATATTTACGTATAATATTAAGAACTATCTCACATTCCTTGCTTACATAATGACTTAATCTACGTGAAGCTATATAGAGGAATTAAAACACTCCAATAGGGGTTAAAGTTCTCTTATATATTACAAAAACAAATATTCTACGATGTATGTACGTACATTTTGCACGTTTTTCATGTTTTTGTAATTATCGAATTTTCAATACGGACGCTTCAGCCAATTATAAAGAGGGAAGGTTTCGATAGCGTGCATATATTGGATGCATTCAGTGCTACAACTGCATACTGAGCGATCAGTGAGTTCTTATATCTGATTGGTGTATATTTTTAGATCTAATGGAATATGCCAATCAGATGAGAGCTCACTGAGCGCTCAGTGAACAATCGTGCTTCTGAATGCACCTATTGGCTGCGTTCAGCAGAAAAAGCAACTTTTCAGCTGTTG